GTTTCATGAATCAAAACAGAGAGAAAAAGAAAAGTGCACAGGAAAGTTTAACTTTAAATCTTGGTAAAACTGTGGTTGACTGGTTTCATTGACAGGGGAGAGCAGCTGACAGAGATCGAGACAGACAGAGACAGATAGAGATAGTCCTACAGTACATCTCAAGTGCTTGAGTTTACCGGAAAATCCCTACATAAAAAGACATAAAAACATTAACCGGAGACAGGCTTTTATTGCACTGTTCGTCAGGGTGAAATTATGATCCTAGAGGCATGACTTTCATTCCCCCTATTTACCTCTTTTCTTAAACATTTCTGTTCCCCCTCTCTCTCTCTCTCTCTCTCTCTCTCTACTGTGTGATTCTGGGCTGTCTGAGACCAAAGTTGACAATCGTGAGAGAAACGTGGTTGAAACTTTGGTTAAATCTTCTCCTAGATCACACTGTGAGAGACGGCCACCAACGGCCAAAACCAAAGTGATGGAGGCAAAACAAAGAAGGAGTTAGTGGCACTTTGGTTTATTGTTATGCTGCATTTTCAAAACATAAAAGCGGCACAGATGGATAATGTGAGCTGATGACGTGCCTCTGCTCTCATGTATTTTTATAATTTACACGGTAGCGCTACGATTCACCGCACAGTCGTCACACCTCTGACATAACTCAGATTAATATCATACAGTCTGAGACAGACTGCTACCAAAATTTCATTAGACCCACCTCTCACAGTGTCATATCTAATAAACTAAAAGTCTACAACGCCTTTAAACTAGAGCCCCGATCAGTATTATAGGGCGCTACTGGCCTACCGCAGACATATCGGTTACAAGATTTTCTTATTTAGCAAAGCTGTTTTTACCGCTAGATGATGTTAAGCTATTGTGTTCATTATTTACTTTAAATATTCTTTAATAAAGTTATTTGCTTAAGAAAGCAGCTTTCTAAGAACCTTTGCATAGTCATAACGGTGCAATATCGGTTTATTTTTATTCCGTCTCAAATATTTATTGTATCGGCCGCCATATTGGTAATTGATGAATTTGTCCCCTCTAAAATCTCAAAAAAAAAAAAAAAATATATATATATATATATATATATATATATATATATATATATATATATCAGTCGGGATCAACTTTAAACAAAGTCAACAGGATTAGGAGACAACGTATTCAGAAGATATATTCAATTGTAGATCAGTTAATAAAATGAAAACATGTTTATCCAAATCCAAATATTTGTGTCAAAGCTTTCAATAAATATCAATTATTAATCTCATTCTTTCAAATATTAGTGCTTTGTCATCCACTAATCTACTGAACTCACAATCAGTGTGCAACAGATGGAAGCAAAGAGATGATACATCCCACATTATACACCAAATACTGCAGAGAAAAGACTTTCAGATCTAATTTGAAGCCTTTTGAATCTTTTCTATCTCAAGTATTTATGAGTATTTAGTGAAGCAGAGGGCAGCAGACCAGACTGTGGTTGCACTGGGCGGCTTCCAGGTATGAATGTGTGTGTCTGTGAATGTGTTTGGGGTGTTGCTGCCACAGAGAGGCTTCCTGATACTGAACAAATAATACAGTTGTTTGTTTTATTTAAATCTATACATTGTATTGTATGCATTGTACTGAGTTTATGAGTATGTAGTCGGGATCCTTTACACATTCACAGCTCCTTGGTAGAACAAATACTGCAGGCCAAAGGGGTTCTGTTCATGTTACTATAATACAGCAGCTTCAATTCACATTTAAAATGTTCACCACGAACACAATGAACGACACGTGAATAGCAAGGACAGCTCTGGTTTTGTCTTACACATGAAGCTAAGAGTTGAAGAATTATACCTCAGAAACAAATGTGTCTCAGCCTAAAGCCCTAATACAAGAGGATTTTATTTGTTGTTGACTGGATTCACATATTTTCATGTTAATATAAAAGATCTTTGACACTTTTGTAGAATTCATCAAACTTTTGAGGAAAAGTGTCTTAAGAACAAATTGTTCCTTGTTAAATTCCTCCACAGAGACTTTCCTTTGTTAACTGACATGATACACATCAATTTGTAATGATTCTGATTATATCTATTATATTATATTATATTATTAATATCCATTTCTCTTTCACAGGTTCCTGGATTTAAAGCTGATATATATCACATTTCTTAGATGATAAATACAAATTATTTGTCCTTAAAGTACCTCAAGACTTCAAAATAATCAATATTCTCTGATGTGATTCAGACTTTTACTGTAAATTCTAACTCTTTATCTTTCTATAAATACATATTAAAATTATTCACAGTTGAAGACTTGTTAGGATTTAGATTATTGAGCTCTACCATAGATTTATTTTATATAATGTCTCTACCTATATACCCGTCACTGTATCTGGCATTTATTCTGAAACAGGAGTCATCTGTGTAGCTCAAGATGAATATACAATATTCAGACACGTCTGGTAGCTAATATATTGTAAACAAACTCCTCTTTCTTCTTCTTGGTTGTCCAGAATCTTTTTCAGCATCATCCGAGTTGCTTTGGGTTACTTAAGTTCCTTTCATTGCTAAGCTCCACTGTTCTTCCTCAGAAATTTGTCCGTGCTCGTCCTCGAGTGTTTTGATCACCACGCTTTTTAAAAAAAATTTCACTGGAAAGGTTTTTCAAACGTACAAGAGAAGTCTGTGTGTGTCTTCTAATATGCTTCTGCTCCACTTTGTATCTGACTTCATCTTACTATTAATATAGTGTTTACAGTAGAACAAGAGCAGAGATAATAAATATAGAATACTTGCTTCTTTCTGTCCTAAGTTTACAGGGAAAGTTCGGATAATTTGAAGTTGGGTTGTATCAGGTATTTATCCATTACCTACAATGCACAGCTGAATATAGGTGGAGCATAAAAACTTATTTAAGCCACATGAAAAAACTCAACCCAACTTAAAAGAACAATATCAGTTGAAGTGGACACTATATTAGGAACATCTTCAGAGCTTTACCGTGCTGTCAGACAACCATTACTGCTGTATTCCTATGATTAAATCCCTGGTTCCTTCGTCAAAAAGCCAATGGGACTTTTCAATTGGATTTTTAAGCTCTGTGGTGAACAAGGTCACCACCACTAAATTTCCGACCTGTAATTAAATTGTGTAAATAAGTTAAAAAGTTTGAGTTAGGATGGTTTGTGAATAGACTGAATTTCCCTCGGGATAAATAAAGTATCTATCTATCTAATAAAGAGAGTATAAACCCAACGAGGACTGGTGAGTAGAGTCTATTAATGTCAGCAACATTCTCCATAGCCTCTTTCAGCCACTTGTTAGCAATCGCCTTTTTTAAGACGCATAAAGCCTAAACATTCATAGGTTTGGTATTTACTGACTATTTACTGGGGTATTTAACCACACATGCTTTATTTCAGGCATCTCACCAAAACCCCCACTGACTTCAAGGCGAGCTACCTGGAAGTGTTAAAATGCTAACTCAGTTCCAGTTTAGGACTCAATCCTGAAGCACTCCAAAGAGTTATTGCAGTTTACGGTAGAGAAAACAAATACAGGAAATCACAGATCATGACAGCAACGACGAAAATGTAGCCTCAAAGGAAAGGACTGTTTGGGGCGAGGTAAAATGGTAAAAATGTTCTTAATATAGCGTTTACTTAAACTATTAATGATTTTTTAAACGTGTGTGGGTTTTTTTTATATGGCTAAAATACATTTTACTGCTGTTAACCCGGCTGTCAGCAGTGCATTGCTGTGCTTCCACTTCTCCAAACTGAGGGCATGCTGACCTCCGCCTGCTGCAGGTAACACACTGACTATGGATTAAATACCTCATGCAATACAAAAATACCCAAACTATCCCTTAAAGAGGAATGTGTATGTAAACAGAAGAGCACGAGTGAATGAAAATATATAAAGGTGGAAAGAAGAGCAGACTGTAAAGGTGACCCAAGGTGATATAGTTTATGAGTATCACAGACACAAGAATAGAAACAGATGGGTAATGGACAGATGAGTTAAAAGGAAAGCAAACAGTGTGTGTGTGTGTGTGGGGGGGGGTAAAAAATAGAACAGCGGCATAATGGACAACACAGATAAAATGGAAGACTGACAGATGTTGAGGGTCGGGAAGGAAATGAGTGGTAAGAAGCGGGATGAGAAAGGAAAAAAGACGACGCGAGGATGACAAGAGTAAGAAGAGTATGAGTGAGTGAGCTCTGCAGAAGAGAGAGAGAGAGAGAGCAGGGCAGATATGGGCCACAGTGACATTAGGCAGATGGCTCAGAGCGCTCAGCTCTGTTTACATTACTCTCACTGATCAAGCAAAAAACAGCCACGAGACAAAAGTGAAACCTGCAGCCCGATGTGCGTTTGCAGGTGAACGCCTCCTGTCAGTCTGTACGTGGCGCAGTCTGTGAATGCGTCTTTCTCTCCCTGCATTGCAATTGAGCCTCAGCTCCTGTAAGTATTCATCGTTTGAGATTCAACGTGCGCGTCACACTTCATGTGTCTCTCAGCTCACAGGCTCAAACTAATTGCTTGCTTTTCTCAAGAGGGCAAGGGCTAGTGGGTTTGCAGAGTACACAGTGAGGTCCTGTTGTTTACGCAACAGCACTCCACCTCTTTAGGAAGCTCTGCTTGGCAGCGTTTACCTGCTACCTGTGCACGCTAACACGCTCCCAGTGCAAGGCCACTGCACCTGCTCATGTCCTCTGTGCTCAACAACACACTCATTTGTCTAAACTCTTCACTCATTACCTTACCTCACCAGCCTTTCCTGTGCTGGTTTGGTCCAGCGCCATTATAATCATACCACTACGCATTATAATCTTCATTGCTCACTCCCTATCAGGTAGGGTTCATGGCTGAGTTACCAATATAATTACAGTCTACTAAAAGGGTTATGTTCAGATTGTGAAGACAAAAATAAACCTGGAATTGAACATCACGTCACTGGAAAATCACTTCTTTCTTCTTTTTTTTTTGCCATAAAAGCAGTCGTCATTTCCCCGGAGGGTGACATGATGGAAGCAGCCAGCCAGTCTGTGGAGAGGACCTCTGCCTAATCCCTGGATATCAAAATGGCATTATGTAAGAGCTGCTCTGATCTAGACAGGACAGGCAAAACAGCACTAATACTGCACAACGTAGATTAAAATGTATTTTCGCCACAAAACAGCTTACGGAGGATATGCAGGCTTAATCAATAAATGATCAACACAGCTCTATGGATGCATGGCTGAATACATTACCAAGTCTGTTTCATACCTGAAATACCTCCACAATGAAGTTAAACATCCCTCCAACAATGTACATTTTACTGACGTTTCCTAATGCTGACAAGATCTGACATATTAATCGATTTGATGGAGCATCTGCAGCCGTGAAAATGTAATATCCCCCCCCCTTTTTTTTACAGTGTAAACATAATTTAGCTTCAATAAAGAGCTGGGACAAGCTGACAGAAATATATACTGTCAGATAGTTTGAAATAAGATGATTTTAATAACCCTAAAGCTACTTAAACCTACTAAAAGGGAGTTTTTAACTTGCTATGACACTGTTTCAGTTCGATGCCGATGCCTCTATATGACCTACATACCCACACGAGACCATATAGTCATTCTTAATCCCTGCCAATAGGTCAGATTCAGTCGGATTCCCCTTGAAATCAATGAAATGAGGCCACAGAAACTCTAGCAACAAAATTAAAATTAAAGCTCCTTGCTGCTACTATAAAGGTCCAGTGTGTAACATTTAACAGGATCTATTGGCAGATTTATAGGTAGGTTTTCATTAGTTTATAATCACCTGAAAATAGGAATTGTTATGTTTTTACTTACCTTAGAATGAGCCGTTTTTATCTAAACAAGCCTACATGTTTCTACAGTAGCCCAGAATGGACACACTGGGACCTTTGGTGTTTTTCAGGCCACCGTAGTTTCCCTGACATGCTTGGAAGGTGAGAGGTATTCAGTCGTTTGCAACTTCATGCTAGATGCCACTGAATCTAACACACTGGTCCTTTAAAAGAAAGATTTTGTGAACTGTGGCACTCAATCAATCACTGTGGTTATATGAGTTTGACATATTGTGGGGCTTTAAAGTGTGTGGTTTCAATATTATGAAAGCTATTTATAATAAACAAAATCCACCATCTTATGTAAGTTTTACTTCCTCAAAATCAAGAGATACTTTATTTAGTTCAACCACCATAGTAGTGGATATGTCGTATATCATCCCATCCCGCTTTACCAGGTATAAAGTTAATCATCATCACAATTTTAGTTTAGTGTTTTAGCATGCTAACATTTGCTAATCACCACAAAACGCACAGCTGAGGCTGATGGGAATGTCATTAGATCTGCAGGCATAAACTGGTACGATGGTGCTCACTGAAGTTACTGCAATTCATCCTGAGGGAGACCATGAATGTCTGTACAGCGTTTCATGGCAACGCACCCGATAGTGGAGATATTTCAGTCTGGACCAACTGACCGATCGCATCCCAAGAGAGCATAGTGTAAGTAGGGAATACAGATGTCTAAACAAAGAATAATAGAGAATAATTTCCACCTGCCCGTCCATTGGCAAAGCCTCTGCACCTTCCCTCCCCGTCCAAACACCACTTTACACCTAATGAAACTCCTTTGAAGCTACCGTCTCCAAGTTGGACGAGCAGGCGAGGATGAGAGGGGGCTTAATGGAACATTCAGAAACTTTTATTTATAATTTTTCTCCTCCTTTATGATGGATTCAGCACAGCGGCCATTTACTTTAGCAGGAAGTCTGTGGTCCCGACAGTGCGTCTATAAACATTGACTTTTAAGGCCATCAGGCCCCCTTTCAGACTTGGGATGAGTGTGGTGGGATAGAGAGCACTGTGGGAGAATGTGGACAAACTGAGCAGAATCCTACAAGAACACGAGTGTAATATATCAGGATAAGATTGTTTGAAGAAGATAATATGTTTATATTAATGGATGACATGGCTACTTGTACGTGAAAGAGGTTGCGATGAACCCACGGAGAATTATCACCCGTCATCAACTCTACAGAGCTTTATAACATCTTACAGCTCATTCTTTTGGTTTTATGGTCAACAACTTCACTGGTTTATCAATGTAAACCGGAAAAGAGAAGAGCCTTAAGACTCTTACTTGCCTTATAAACCCACTTTAAGTTAATTTAACCTACATTTTAGATTCTTTTTTGTTTGTTTTGTTCATTTATTTCATCTTTTTTTTCTCTTTTCTGTTAAAGTATGCTGCTTGGATTCATTGTTAGGTATGCTGAGCAACCACTGATGAGGTGTGTTTGTTATTGAAGGAAGTTTGAATAAAGGTTTTCAAAAAGAAGTTATTGTTTTAGTTCACTCACACTCGCTCTCACAGTGTTGTTTTTTACTTGTCCAGCACCAAGCAGCAGGCCGACAAGAGCTGCTGGAGACCAAACAGCTAAAAGAAAGTGCCCAGAAACACGTCTCCGTCTCCGTCTCATGCTGTTGTGTTTCTTTATTGTATTTTATTTTTTGCCTGTTTTGTTTCAGTGTCATTTTGAGTAGAGTAAGGGTGATGCTTTGTTAGGCATTAAGGGTAGGAGCAATAAACATAAGCTTCAGTCTATACCCTTTACTGTGGTTACTTATAATGATTTACTATTACTTAACCTCTCTCTCAACTGTATGGTCAATTTGTTGTTAATTGTTCTGTATAACTGACCCCAAAAATTAAACTGATGTTGCTCCGTAACAGAAAAACAAATTAGTCTGTGCAATGAAGTAACTAAACCATACAAAACAACACAGTCAGCACTCAGAAGCCAATTCCATTTCTAACAAAACAAACTCAGTCTGATGTTTCTATATCGTCCTTCTTCTTTTCTTTTCTCTCAGCGTGTTCACGCGGCACAGCAGTAGGTGACATGCCCCCTCCTTTAATCCCCCCATCCTGCTCTCCGTCCCACTTAACAATACTCAGCCAACACCCGACACTGATCACAGGAAGGTGTGTCTGTGTGTGTGTGTGTGTGTGTGTGTGAATACACAGAAATACACACAATTAACAGGGAAGATCTGAACATTTTGAACAGTATTACTACTCTACCACTTCATTTACTCAGACCCCTCGCAAGACAGTCGACAGTTGCAGTTCAGAGGCTTAAAAAATGAAATGAAAACCGAAGCTGTGGACCAAAAAGCTCTTTCAGGACATGAAATTTACACTTTAAATCCCTTTAGTTCAGCTCTAAGCAAGAAAAAATCAATCAGTTACATTTATCCCTATAGACACACGCTTTGTCTCTTACAGGCCAATCAGTCAGCCAGACAGATAAGATGTTGTTTGCAATGCAATGTGTTATAATGTGTGTGCAGGTATTACATCCACTCTCCTGACTTAATATTGCTGTTAGAGAGCTCATTTTGAAAGCCAGGAGTCATTATACACCTCTTATGCATGGAAGATGGAGATGTGATGATGGTGGTGATTTTATATATAACTCAATGTTGTTGAAAAGTCTCTCTCTCACTCTCTCTTTCTCTCTCTGCGTGTGCTTCTTTCTCAGTCTTGTGAAAGGTTCTGCTTAGTGTTGGCCCGAGACTCACACCCACGGAGACTGTGAATTATCAGAGATGGCAGCGCTGCTTTTCACTTAGCAACTATCACCCACATTCCACAGCCTCCCTCCAAAGACCTTGCAGTCCCCCACCCAGGTTCAGGGAAGGTGCAGGGCCGACAATCCCAGCGTGCCGTGCTCCCAGTACGATCCTGGTTTAGCCCTTCACCAACAAGTTGTTTTCACTATCAATGCATCTGTTTTCTTTTTCATCAGTTAATTGTTAGATCTATGAAATGTCAAGCGTCACATATACAGGAGCCCAAAATGCCAAACCATCACTTCACGGTTCACTGAGCCCTGCCTGTCTTAGTTACTGTTGCTACGCCTGTCAAAGTTTTCACCCTCACGCGGTGCGTTATGCAGATCGCAGTGATAACGGTTGGCAGATTCACCATCAGAATTCTTATAGAAACTGGATCCTCGTTTCTAATCGAATGACAGCTGCCAGCATCAGATGTGATCAGCCGTAGATAGTTAGCTAATTAACCCTGATGTTAGCTGCTACCATCTCCAGCTGGCATTTTAGTTCTCGGTTTTCCAGCAAACTCGTTTTTAAATACGCGTGATGGCGCTAAAAACCTGAGGCTAAAGCTGCATGACTCAGGCTAAAAGTCTGTATCCTCACCAGTCGATGATTCATGTAGAAGACCAGAGTTGGGAGGGTTTCTTTAAAGATTTCATCTGATACAATTACCTCTTAAATAATGTAGTCACTAAACGAATCCTAGTATCACAATATTTAAGTAATGTAACTTGATTACCTTTCTTTACTCTTGGATTACCTCAACCCTAAATATGCAAATAAAGACAAGAGAAAGTATTAATCAATAATTGGTGACGTCTCCTATCAGGAAACAGAACAATGTAACGTTTGAAAAGAAGATGGAAACAAAAAAATGGAAAAAACGAAAGATTTGTTGCATCAAAAAATTTTTCCTCTGCTCATATATTTCTAAAGAAAAACTGATGTATTTTTAAATTTTAATCCTAAATTTCTTTTCCGTATCTGTAATGGATTACAGTTACCCTTTTTTTGTATCCTGGCACTTTTACTTTACTTGTAATCCGTTACCCGCCAAGCCTGTAGAAGACTGATTCTACAGTACTGGTATCACTGGGTGGCACGCAAGCTGCCTCTAGTGGTATGCAGAGGAATTTCAGAAATATTTTCTTAAAATAAAATACTTAAATTATGAGATCGCTGAAATGTAATTTTAAATATTTTTCATATTTCCTGTAATATCTTATTTTGATATCAACCTGCTACATTCGTGATTAGTTACGTGTTGAAATGTGGCAGCGCGATAATAAGTAGACACAGTATAACACACAATCGTGGTTTCAAAGAGGAACTATTAGGAAGAGAAATACAGACCAGGAGCTCTGGTACTTGAACCAGTTTTGTTCGGGATTCAACAACAGTCAACAATAAATAATCTTCTTATTAGAAACAACGTTGTTATTGTGTTACAGTGTGGAGCGAGTTACCTCTGGTATTATAAGAACTTATAAGAACTAACCAATGTGTTTGGCAAACCTAACACTACCTCAGCTAACGTTGAGCTGAACTCCAAGAGAGGGACAGAGCTGCCAAACCTTTGACGGCGTCCAGGACCAGCTTCCACACAGTGGCTGTCGTAAACAGCGATGTAATAAACTAATGTAGTGAGTTAATAATGATACACTAACTTTGTTTGGAAAGGTCCAAACCTCGACAGGCCCCCCCGCCGTGTCTAGTTCCGGCTGCTAAGCTGGACAATTGCCGTTTCAGGGAGGGGTTAGGCAAACTGTCAATTTATCGACTAATCCTTTCAATGCTGCTTAACTTCAAACGGTTTGGAGCTGTCTCAGACTACTGAAGTCACTGAGAACGATATTTCAAAGCTGACATGGGAAAAAAAAAACATTTAGCTCGACAGTACTGTCCAGAAAACTCTGAATTTATAAGACCTTTTTTTCCCCAGAGGGGAGCAGTGACTGATGGGATATTGTTGTTGAACTGGGGCCAGCGAGAGTGCAAGTCAAAGCTCATCGGCCTTTGAGGAGCATCTGGAACTCTTTAGAGCATCTGTGTTAGATCAGGCTCTGTAAAACACACTCTAGCACCCCAAACACAATGACAGCGCTTTACTTGTGACAAACCACAAGAGTCTCCCCCGTAGGTTGCCCCTTATCTTTTCTTGAGAGCTTCGGTTATTTATTTCCATATTCTTTCATTTCGTTTATTTTTTTTCCAGCTCTGACTCGTGTTCACTGTCACTTTTAGCCTTTGTGAAACTGTGTGTGTGTGTGTGTGTGTGTGATTGTGTGTGTGTGTGTGTGTGTGTGTGTGTGTGTGTGCCAGGCAGCTGCTGGGTTTGTGTACTCAGCCTGAGCCTCATGTCTACACACAGCGCGCACTGCCCTTATCTGAAATGACCAGAACCACATCAACAGATAAAAGAGTCAAGTCCCGCCTGCTTGCTCTGCTGGGTGGTCCACACATTGTCTGGAGGTGAGCGTCTAACTGAGAGCCACACTACCATCACACATTTGTGTCTTACAGTGGGAAAAAAAGAGAAAAACTCCACATAAAAATCTTTTAAGCTGCAGAGAGAGAGAAAAAAACCTGTTTTGGAGCACAATCACCTGTCCAGTCTTGTCATTTCTATAATTTGTGATGAACAGCAGGATAGGCGTTTTGTCCTTTCTCAGGAAATCATTTTCCAGGACATTTCCAGGACAACATCAATCAAAAACTGTTTAAAGGTATTCTTAGTTTCTAAAAATCTGTCATCGTAGCGACTGACGTGAAGCAGCCTCGTTTAAACAAAGTTATTTTCTTTAGTTTCTTCGATTTCAATTATGTTTTTTCTCATTTTCGAACTGGCAGTGAATAGAAATGAACTTTAATTGTGAATGCAGACAGTGTTTGGATTCCCATTACAGATCTTTACACGCAGGTGAAAGAAAAATGTTTGATACAATATGGGTAAAAAAATAAAAACCTCACATGGAAAGACTGTGACCTTTCCACACACCCCTTGTTTTTATCTATTTCCACCAAAGAAAACAACCAAAAAAACACAAGAAACAAGAGGAAGAACTACTTTATTAATCCTCTTGGGGAAAAATCTAATTTACGGTTGACATGGAAACTTTTCATAACATCGATGCCGTGTCCAAAATCACCCCCTCATCCACTGTCCCCAACAATAAACACTCAATAGTTCACCCGATGCAGTAGTTTACACAGAGGGAATTGAAGTAGTGTACAAAGCCATTTACAGTGAATAGAGAGTCATTTCGGACACAGCTTCAGTCTGACATTTCACTTATAGTAGATCCAAAAATAGTTCACACAGAGATTCGTCCCGAACAGCAGACAATAAAGCATCTCGATGTTCTTCTAGTAAACTAATCCAGTGATATAACAGACGCAGTTAACTGTAGACTTCGCTAGCAGCCGTAATCTGTGGAGGAAGTTGTGTATTTTCTGTGTATTCAAGTAAAAGATATGAGTCTAAACAAACATGTGAGGCACGAGATAAATCACAAAAGAGCAGAAAAACGGGGGAGCTGATATTATATCTACGTTCTTTTAAAACAGGAAGTGGCGCAAATGTGTGGCAATTGTTTCTGCTCCCCAGAGGGTGACTTATTCAGAAAGCCAGTCACAATATATTTTATTACAACAAACATGTTTAGTTTTTTTAAAGTTAAAACCCTTTTTTTCCCTTGTCACCACTTGTATTTGTTT